AGATGTTTAATCTTATACCCTCTTCCTTTATTTTTTTCCCCTTCACAATAAGCTGCATATTCTTCAAATGAGTGAATTTAATTAATATTTAAGGGACCTAGTCAAAGCTCTTCTATGTATGTTGCTAACACCGAAATACTAAAAAAAAAAAACAATCTGATTGAAGGACAGGTTTCAAATATCAATAAGAGAATAACAAACTCTAGTTTCTGTTTCCTCTCCAGAAGATACATTAAATGGATTATTTGTTGCTAATAATACCTTGTATAACTTTACATTTGGAGGCCATTTCTCTTTTAAAGCAAAGTTTTATGGGTCAGGACTCCTGGGAAACTCCAAACCACTAGAAGGGGTTCCATATTTTTTTCATAAATGTTGCCTCAGGCCAGGTAGCTGAGCTCAGATTTTTGAGGATACTAATCCCTCTGAAATCTTAGCCACAAATATCTTTTAGGTATGTCACAAGCTTTTTCTCAGTCAGGGGTACCCAACCTAGGCAACTTTCAGACTTGTGGACTTCAGCTCCCAGAACTGTCCAGCCAGCTGGCCGGGGAATTCTGGGAGTTGCAGTCCATAAGTCCTAAGGATCCACAAGTTCTCAGGATCCAATGAAAGGCACGCTGTACAATAAATATTGAGATTTTTCTTTCATTTTTATTAAGGCAAACAGCGCCTTGTTTCCATTTCAGCAACATTCTCCTACCCCATTTTACTGCGAAACAGCAAGGAAGGGATGAAGCCACACATCAAATATATTGAAAATCAAATCTCCTTCTTCAGTTGAGCATGGCTAACACTGTATCTCTTTCAGGTGGCTTTGGCTTCGTGTATTGTTGGTTGATTTATCCCATCCTGATTTCCTGTCTTCCATCCCATCCACTTTGTGGGGTGTCACCTCTGTGACAGATTGCCAGCGCTTTGAGGTAGTCCAGAGAAGGAACACCAAAATGAATATTAGCTCTGTCTTTATTGCATTGTGTTATATTATTTTCCTTCCTTTTCTTTTACTTTCCACAAAACTAAGGGGGAATCCCTTCAGAAACACTTCCCAAGTCCTCCATCCTTCTATGGGTCAAGATATTTTTTTTATGTTGGTTGACCAGAATGGGGCTCTCCTTCTGTCTCCCAAAGTCTAACCACACACTATTCCATAGATCAATTCTGTCCCTAATCCTTACCTTTCTTTGCTGCGCTTATTCTGGATTGTACCCTGTTCTACTTCAGGAGTCTTCAAGGTCCTCTCTGGATGAAGAAATAATCTAACAAAGATCAAAACTGTTCAGTTCATCCCAGAGTCCCCAACTTACATTAAGTTCCCTTTTACAACCCTGTAGTCTCTGTTCAGGGTAGTGTCAGGGTGACTAGGTGGAGCTGAGTGTTTACTGGCCAGATGCCTTTCCTGATGCCTATGTGGAGTTCACAGCAGATACTTTTTTCTTTGCACCCTAGTAGAGAAACATCTACCACTACCTACGACTGAACTCTCAACCTTCTGCCTGGGAGACGAACGTTTCTATCACTAGGCTGTCTTATCACTCTTAGTCCCCATCCATTATTACTCTTTATTAAGTACAAACTGTTATGTCTTTGGGACTGGTTGGAGTCCCCAATCAGGTCCGCTGTTTGAGCGGGAGCACCAGCCGCTCCCATTGGCTGGCACCGTTTGACAGCCGGCTATAAAAGGCGGCTGTCGAGCAGTGCCAGCCCCGGTTGCCGCCAGCTAACCTGCCTAGTTAGGAGGCAGACGCGGCAACCCTTTATTCATTGCAATAAAGCCTTTTTACGTTTCACTCTGCCTCAGCCTCATTCCTCCGCCGCTCCACAACACTGGCGACGAGGGCGGGATGCGATCGAAGGCTGCCAGACGTGCAATTCAGAGGAGCTGTGGTCACTGAGAGCGAAGCCACGGGCGCTGAAGCCGCAGCCGCCGATGCTCACAAAGAGCGCGAAATTCAAAAAAGCCTCCGTAGCTTTTGAGCTGTAGTCACTAAGAGCGAAGCCATGGGCGCTGAAGCCGCAGCCGCCGGCGCTCACAAAGGGCGCGAAATTCAAAAAGCCTCCGTAGCCGGAGAGACAGACACCGCCTGATAAGCGCAGCCGCTAGCGCTCTTCTAAGAGCGCAAATTTTGAATCACGACTGAAGGGGACGAACCCTGCCGCTTCAAAAAATGAATGCCAATCCGACATTCCCACCATTCAAGCCAGCCGAGGAAACGTGGGACTCATACAAAAACCGTTTCAGCTACTTCCTCGATGCCATCGGTTTAGCAGATGCTGCTGAACACAGGAAAAAATCCTACTTCCTCAGCTACTGTGGGGCTGCGGTTTTTGACACCGCTACAGCACTAGTCACCCCTCGCGCTACCAGGAGCATACCTTGGGATGAACTCCAAGAGATCCTCTCCAACCACTACTCACCTAAGCCATCCCAGATAGCCAGGAGATATGCTTTCAGAACTAGAAGGCAGGCTGAGGGAGAGTCAATTAATGAGTATATGGCAGCTCTGAGGACAGCTGCCTTACAGTGTGGTTTCAGAGACTACCTAGAAGACATGTTATTAGACCAGATCGTCTGTGGGGTTAGAGACCTTAGGCTTCAAAGACGTTTGCTAGCAAAAAAGGACTTAAACCTAGCTTTAGCCGTGGAGGAAGCCCAAGCTGCTGAGCTCTCTGCCCAATCAGCAGCTGAAATTCAAGGAACTCCTTTAAAACCCAGCAGTTCCACTATTCATTCAGAGGAAGTTTCCCTTGAAGAAGACCCCATAGACTCAACAGACATTAACCGCCTTAAGCAACAAAAGCCTTCACAGGTAGGAGCAGGGCAGAGAAACAACTTCGCCCCCAAGCAACCTCCCATTTGCCTAGCTTGCGGGGGCTCCCACTCTAGGGCATCCTGCAGGTTTAAGAACGCCATCTGCCTGAATTGTCAAAAGAAAGGCCACCTCGCTAGAATCTGCCAAGCAGGGCGAACCTTTCCTCAAAGACCTCCACCACCTACTAATTTTCAAAGGCAAGTGGAGGACTGCTATACCTGCTAGCACGCTAACCAAACTTCCCAGACTCCTAATAAAATCAGTATTTCTGTTTCTTTAGAAGGTAAGCCCTGCAGGATGGAAGTAGACATGGGATCTGCACTTTCAATCATCTCCTGGGAAACCCTAAAGAAGATTCATCCCAGATTTGCGAAGAAGAAGCTGCAGAGATGCCACCTGACACTGCGGGACTACCAGGGCAAGAACATCCCTGTCCTCGGGAAAGGCAAGTTTTTAGTTCAGTTCCAAGCCTTTAAAGGCCATTTGCCTTTGGTGGTTGTTAATGGTGCCCTCCCCACTCTGTTGGGGCTAGATTGGTTCCCCTCCCTCGGCCTTAGTGTAACTGGGATCCATGCTGTCTCAACTTCTGACGTAGATGCCCTATTCTCAGATTACTCTGATGTTTTTAGCAGCGAGCTGGGCTGTTATTCTGGCACCCCCATCTCCTTCTCTGTGGACCCCCAGGCAATTCCTCTTCACCTTAAGCCACGCAGGGTGCCTTTCGCCATCCGTCCCAAGTTAGATTTAGAATTAGATAAGTTACTAAAGCAAGGGGTGTTAGAACCAACTGACTTTGCCAAATGGGAGACCCCCATAGTCACCCCACTCAAGAAAGATGGCACTTTAAGGATCTGCGCAGACTATAAAACCACCCTCAACTGTTATCTGCAGGTCAGTGCCTACCCGGTCCCTGTTATTCAACACCTGTTACACACCTTCGAACCCGGCACCATTTTTGCCAAATTAGACATGTCCCAGGCATACCAACAGTTCCCTGTTGATGATCAGACAGCTGAATTACAAACCATAGTCACACATAGAGGGGCATTCAAGTGCAAACGCCTCCAATTCGGTGTTAGTGTAGCCCCGGGTATATTCCAATCACTCATGGAAAGGATTCTCCAAGGTCTCCCAGGGGTTGTCCCTTATTTCGATGACATCTTAGTCTCAGCAGTTGACAGACCTCAGCTCATACAAAGGGTCAGAGCAGTCCTAGAGAAGTTTAGGCAGCATGGCCTCAAACTTAAAAGGGAGAAGTGCGCCATCGCCACTAGGCAAGTGGACTTTCTGGGATATAGGATAGATGCCTCTGGCATTCACCCAATCGAATCCAAAGTAAAGGCTATCCATGAGGCGCCTACACCAACTAACAAGACGGAGCTCCAAGCCTTTCTGGGGCTACTAAACGTTTACGCTTCATTTCTCCCGCACAAAGCATCTATTGCTGAACCCTTACACAGACTGTTAGACAAAGAATCCCCCTGGCATTGGGGACCCAAAGAAGCCCATGCCTTCAAGGCAGTCAAATCCTTACTCACATCTGATGCAGTTTTAATCCAATATGATCAACGACTTCCCCTGGTCCTAGCTGCTGATGCATTCCCCTTTGGGATTGGGGCTGTTCTGAGCCACAGTCTTCCCAACGGTTCCGAGGCACCAATTGCTTTCTTCTCTAGGACCTTCTCTACTGCAGAAAGGAACTACAGCCAAATAGATAAGGAGGCCTTGGCTGCAGTAGCTGCAGTAAAAAAGTTTCATGAATTTTTGTTTGGGCACCATTTTGAACTTATAACTGACCATAAACCACTCCTGGGGCTGTTATCAGGGGATAAGCAAACCCCGCAGGTACTATCACCTAGAATGACCAGGTGGACTTTGTTCCTGGCCGCTTATTCATTCAAGTTGGTGCATCGCCCGGGAAAAAACTTGAGTCACGCCGATGCTCTTAGTCGCTGCCCCCTACCAGTCCCAGTCGAAGACCCAGCACCTGTTCATGCCATTTTTGAAGTTAATGAACTTAAATTGCCAGTTACAGCCGAGGACATTGCTGCACACTCAAAAAAAGACAGAATAATTGCCCAAGTTATGGACTGGGTGGGAAGGGGGTGGCCGGAAACGCAATACACTGCTGACTTTGCTCCTTTCAAAACCCATAAGCAGGAATTGTCGAAACTACAAGGATGTTTGTTGTGGGGGACAAGGGTAGTCATCCCAGCCACTCTTCGTGTACCCATCCTGAAGGTACTTCACGAGGGCCACCCGGGCATCGTAAGGATGAAGGCTCTGGCCCGCAGCTACGTTTGGTGGCCCGGCATGGATGCCCAAATCTCCAGCTGGGTAAGCTCATGCCAACCTTGCCAAGAAACCAGGGCTGCCCCACCAGCAGCTACGCCTACCAAGTGGGAGAGTGCTAGTGGTCCTTGGTCTCACCTGCACATCGACCTGGCTGGACCAGTACATGGCAGGACCTTCTTGGTTGTAGTAGACTCTTACTCCAAATGGATAGACTTGGCCCTACTACCCTCGACAACCACTCAAGCAATTGTTAAGGCTCTGACCCGCCTCTTCGTTACCCATGGGCTCCCTGACACGCTGGTGTCTGACAATGGCCCCCAGTTCACGTCGTGTGAGTTTAGCATGTACGTTGCCAACTTGGGCATCAGACACATCCTTACAGCCCCCTTTCACCCCGCTAGCAACGGGATGGCTGAGAGGGCAGTCAGGTCAGCAAAAGAGGCACTTGCCAGGTTTGGCCAGGAAAACTGGCACTCCAAACTGTCACATTACCTCCTGAGCCAACATACGACGCCATGCACCGCTACAAATAAATCCCCTGCCGAGCTCTTGATGGGGAGACGCCTTAGGACCACCCTGGACAGGTTGCACCCCCACTACTGCCCAGACACCCCTTTAGGATCTGACAGTTTGGTCAGGGACTTTGCCCTGCATGACCTGGTGTACGCCAGGAATTATGCAGGGGATCCTCTGTGGGTACCAGGTCAAGTTGTGTCAGTCACAGGTCCTAGATCCTACCGGGTCCTCCTGGAAGATGGACGCCTGTGGCGTAGACACGTGGACCAGCTCAGAAGGCGATGGAGAAGCACAACTGATACCAACCCAGCCCAACCTCCTAGCACCGAGGACTCCCTGCCGGTACCAGCCTACCCAGACGGAAGCTCCCTGCAGGATCCGATCTACCCCATCGACCAGGAGAGTTTGCTGGAGGGCCCGAGCTACCAACAAGGGACACCGAACCAACAGCCAAGCGAACCTGTCTGCCGGCCAGACCAAGCGACTCGCCAAGGTCAGCCCGAACAGGGGGACTTACCTAATTCACAGAGCACCACACCGGACCGAGCCCACTCCCAACAACCTCCGAGATGATTCCTGGGGGCAAGGACTTGACGCCAGCCAGCAGCTTGCCCGGGTTGCGACGTTCTTGCCGCCAGCGCAGACAACCAACTTACCTGAAGGACTACGCATGCTCCCAGCTGGGGGAAAGGAGTGTTATGTCTTTGGGACTGGTTGGAGTCCCCAAACAGGTCCGCTGTTTGAGCGGGAGCACCAGCCGCTCCCATTGGCTGGCACCGTTTGACAGCCAGCTATAAAAGGCAGCTGTCGAGCAGTGCCAGCCCCGGTTGCCGCCAGCTAACCTGGCTAGTTAGGAGGCAGACGCGGCAACCCTTTATTCATTGCAATAAAGCCTTTTTACGTTTCACTCTGGCTCAGCCTCGTTCCTCCGCCGCTCCACAACACAAACCATCAACAGTTACCACTTCTAGATACATTTTACATTGCCAGTCATTACTTTTCTTCATTAAATTTCACTTACTGCCCAGGTCTACTTATTAGCTCACTGGCCAGAGATTTCTGGGCTGCCTCCATGTCTCTGTGACAGATTCACAGAGGCATAACAGCATTACACAAATCCATCTATCACAGGGGTGTCAAACTCGGTTTCATTGAGGACCCCATCTGGGGTTGTGTTTGAACTCAGAGGGCAGGAGTGGACATGGCCAGATTGACGTCACTCTGTAGGGGGCACCTGTGGGTGGCCGAGCACTCTGCCAGTGAAAACAGGCTTCCGAGCTCCATTTTCAGCTGCAACAGCCTCCTGCAATCTGTGCAACCCTCCCGAGCCATTTTCACTGGCAGAAGCACCATGGGCGGTCCTTTGCTGTTTCCAGGGCAACCCTGGGGGCCATATCTAAGCAACCTGTGGGCCAGATCCACCTCTCAGGCCTGGAGTTAGATACCCCTGATTTATCAGTTTAGGGGATTGTGGTATCACAATATTTGGGAGCCATTAATTTAAAGGCTTATTTGCATGGATAACTATTCAAGAGTAATTATCTCTGGAATTATCTTTAACTTGTAATTGGCCTTTATCTTTCATGCTGAATTAACAACTTTCAGCAAGATCAGTGGGTTCCAGTTTTTTAAAAAAAACAGGTTGCAATATCTGGTCAATTAAGTTCAGAATTCTGTATTATCCAAGTTAGACAGTAAGAATTGTGACTGAAAGCACTTTATGCAAAACCAGAAAATAGAATTTTTAATACTGTACCATAGGATGACATTTTAAAATAATATTCCTCCCATTGCTTTTTTTTTAAAAAAAAAATAGTTCTATGAATTCATACTCTACAGATCACTAATGAAAAAAGAGACAGACAATGAACGATAGTATATTGAACAATGGTTAATTTCTGGCCAATTTCTAGTGTGGGTGGTAGAGTAATTTTGAAAATTTACAAAATGTAGTTTCTGAATTAAAATCTTTGTATTAACTCTGTGTGAGTATCTGTAGAAACGAGCAAATATGCAGGGATATAGTGGAAGAGATTCTACATGTATCCAACCCCATTTTCATTTGGCCTTATATAGCTGTTACAACTCTGCATAGAATTATATTCTGTCAGTGCACATCCATACTAATGAAAGACCAAGCCAAGGCCTTATTTTTTTTTTCCAGAAAGTGATAATGCTATCTTATAACCAAAGCCAGAATGACATAGCATAGTAGAGCATTAAGGAAGAGCTCTGGAGATTCAGCTTCAAACATGATTTCTCATTTCATTTATTGCATCTCATATAGTTATTGTGAAGAGAATGGGAGGTTGCAGAGGACCATGGAATTCGTGGATATAAATATATTTATTAAATTAAAAGTGTTAAATGTGTCTCGCAATGTAAACTGGCATGGTTGTAAAGGCCAAAGGGAGAAGAAAAGAAAAGCAGATCTAGCGACGCAAATATCAAAATCAGGTTAGGTGGAGGGGCATACATATATCAGAGGGGGTCAACCCACTCTTCCAGCATAATGTAATATATGTGAGTAGGCTTCAGGATTGAAGATGTTTTTATTGTGATGCAGGCCAAAACTGTCTGTTCTACCTGAAACATCAGCACTGTTGAAATAACGAAAGTAAATATTTTGAGAGTGCAAACACAGAAGTGTTAGGTAATAACCAGGTCTGACTCTGATCCTCTTTTCTGGTTTGGTTCCTTGCTTGGCTAGGAACTGAACAAGCCTTGCTCTCAAGTCAAAAACTAATGGGAGCTGTGGCAACCAGCAGGGAAACAGAGAAGGCAGTGAGAGTATGGAAGGCCTGCTGGAGGAAATGATTAGCTTTCTGCTCAATCTCCTCTCTGGACATGTCCATACCAGCAGAGTCAGCCTTCTCTCATCTTCTCTATAATTGGTGCCACACCAAAATGTTGTCAAATAGTGCCATTTGTGCTGTGGTCAAGAAGGAAGATGTCTGATATCCAATGAAGCATTTGCATTTCCTTGGCATCGAGATAGATTTCGGTCCCTGTTGTTGCTGCCAGCATTCAGTGCCACACAGTGAAACAGGGTGTATTGTTCAGAAGTGGTATTCAGCAGGTTCTGACCAGTTCTGGAGAACCAGTAGCAGAAATTTTGTGTAGTTCCGAGAACCGGCAAATACCACCTCTGCCTGGAGATTTTACAGTATCCTTCCCCTGCCACGCCCACCAAGCCATGCCCACAGAACCGGTAGTAAAAAAAAATTGAATCCCACCACTGCCGATGGTTGTCTTGTAAATCTTAGATTTAAAGATGGTTTGGCATTCGTCTGTCACATAACAGACAAATATTAAGCTATTAAATCTCCCAGAAAAATGGTTGCATTTTTATAACTTCAGTTGTATAACTTTGTATATACACAACTTTGCATTTGGTGTATAACTTCAGGTTATGGAAAAATCAGATTATTGAAAAGGAACCTGATCTCAGCATTTTGGTACTGAGTTCTTCAATATCGACCATTCAGTTATAACCTTTGCTGAGATCCATGGAACTCATTTGCAAGTATGTATAGGAGTGCAGCTTAAACCATCTTGATGGGATGTAGATCCCCCAAATCTATTTTTCCCCTTTTCTTTTAAGCATTAATTCCAACATAGCTGCAGGCATAATCTCTTTGTGATCATCTAAAGTGCTTCCGCTACATGCTTAGGCATGAATTTCAAATAGGATTTTCAATTGCTTTTTATTCTCTTTCAATTGATGGCAGAATTGTATTTTTGAGCTGGTAGTCTGTTTTATTTAATCTGAATTTAAAAATCAGACGGTCCTCTTTAAAATCTGTATATAAGAAAAAACAAAGCTCATAATTGATCGATTATGATCTACAAGGTACTTTTAGGTATAGATAGTCCTCGACTTATCATCATAATTGAGCCAAGAATTATAGTTATAAATCATGGCAGCTGTTAAGTGGGTCAGTGCATTGCTGTTCCTGATTTTATGACCTTTCTTTGCCACAATCATGAAGTAAACTCTGAGTTTGTTAAGTGAATGTTGTGTCATTGCGTGAACATGGTGGTTGTCATGCAATCACTCTTTATTTGATTCTAGGGGCCCCTTTTCCTCTAGCTTGGCACCTTTCAGGAGTCTCATTCTGAGCCATACCAAGTGGGGGAATGGAATAGGGTTGAGCTGAACCCTGAACTGCAACAGTGCATGTCCGATGGAAGCCATAATTATAGAAGAAAAGTGCAGGCAGTCTGGAGAGAAAGTCTCTATGAGCTCTCCACTTAACCTTCTGGGCCTCTCTTCTGTAAGAGCAGAAGATTTAACAACCTGTTTGCACAAACCAGACCTAATAGGCTGGAAATCTCTTCTGCAAGCCACAATTATTAAGGTCACAGGTAAAACAAACACATGAATTAATCCTACTCCAGCCAAAAAGCTTTGCCTCCATTGAGCCCTATTAGGTGAGTGAGTGCCAAATAGAAGGAGAGGTGGACCATTGCTGATCAGGCAGTGTACTGAAAGCCATATCCTTGTCACCATTCTGGCAGGTCTATAGACTGATTCACATGTATCCTCATATCTATTGCTCCACACAGCCCGTCTCTTGACCCTAAATGCCAAGCACCCAGTAATTCTTGCCACACCAGGCACGATAGCCTCAAACCTAATAACATCTAACCTAGTATTTCTAAATCATACTCAAATATCTACTAAGTCAAAGGAGTTGGCCCCTGAAAGATTATATTACCCTGTTAACCCTTTCAGGGCCACAAAACCCTCCAGGAAGTGTTCCTGTATGTAGATATAGCACTGTCACCTTAGTATTTGGTACAGATCTGTGAGTATTTATAAATGCAATTGTGAACACATAAAATTTTAGCCACACAATTAAAAAATCACTAGCGATGTTTCTACATGCTTCTGTTCATTTTTCATAAACCATAATCCAAAAAGGAAGTTTTGCTGCAACAAACTATTACATATATCTATATGGAGCATGGTGACGTGGTGGCTCAGACACTGAGCTTGTCGATCAGAAAGGTCAGCAGTTTGGTGGTTCGAAACCCTAGCACTGCGTAACAGAGTGAGCTCCTGTTACTTGTCCCAGCTTTTGCCAACCTAGCAGTTCGAAAGCATGTAAAAATGCAAGTAAAAAAGTGGGAAGGTAACTTTGTTGGGAAGGTAACAGCGTTCCGTGAGCCTTCAGCATTTAGCCATGCTGGCCACATGACCATGGAGATGTCTTTGGACAGTGCTGGCTCTTTGGCTTTGTAATGGAGATGAACACCACCCCGTAGAGCTG